ACTCCTCAGCTGCAATTGTGCCTTTACTGAGAGAGGAAGAGAAGGGTAGAGAAAGGAATGTCTTGGATACAAGGAGTACTGGCTGGGGAGAGATGAGACCAACATCTGCAAGCGGAAGTTAGTGGATGTGCGGAGATATGGGTGCGATGGCTTCTTGCTCTGTTAAAAGAGCGGCAGTGAGACGTGAAGTAGCTGAGGGAGATGAGCTTTTCGTCTGTGCTCCTTCTTCCTGGATGGATGTTCAAAGGCAGAAGTTGAGTTTGTTCGTTGGAGGATGGTGAGAAGAGGGCATTGGAGAAAGAAAAACCTTGAATACTTTTATGCTGATGTAAACTCTTGAGGAATGATGCGGCTGACCAAATCTTTCTTAGTACCAAGTCATTCATCTTTTAGTAACACACTGAAAGTAGAGCAGTCTTTGGAGCCTCAAAAAAGCTGGAAACCCAATCGTCACTGAAGCTCTCTCAGCTCCTTTCTGTTTCACCCTTTCTGTGGCCTCATGCACCGTCATTTTCTTCATGCACGAAGCCACATTTTAAAAAAGAATTAGGAATTTGCAGCCTAATTTCTGACACAGAAATGGAAAGTGCTCAAAACTGTTTTCTGGAAATAAATGAGCTGTCTCCGATCGTGATGAAGATGTCTCAAGTGTACTTTTTCTAAAGTACAAAAAAGCAATAAAAATACTTTGTATTTTCAGCGTTAGTCATAGGCTCTATTTTGGTTTTTTCCCCTCCTGTTGTTTTCTGTTTTGGTTTCAATGGGGCATTTTTCAGTTTGAGAATAATCCTCAGGCCTGGTTTTATGCTTTAAAAAAGGAGTTTTATTTCTATGTGAAACCATATAATTTTGGATTAAATCTCATTTTCTCTTCTTAGTACTTAACATTCAAAGCTTTTACTTCATCTGTCTCAAATCTTTTCTTATTTCCCACCTCAGTCTGGCTCCACTTTGTTTCTTCCCGTGTGTTTCTGCTGTGATCTCCCCCCACTTTTTTTTAATAGAGATATGTTGAGACAAGGAGTTATTTGCTCTCCAAATACGTGGTGGATTGTTTGAGAGGGCGTTCAGATGACAGTAATGTCTAAGTTATCTTAAAAATGAGTGGATTAATGAGCTGGGCAGTGTATCTTGCTGTCCCTGCGCAAAGGGAAATGGCAGTTATTTTTCCTTGGAATTGCACTGTGGTTTGCACTGAAAGGCAGCACACCTCATGTTGACTGTGCTTTTGCAAACAATACACGGCAGCCTAAGTACTGCTTAAATAGGGAGCCACGAGGTGGTTAATTTTTTCTGTGAACCTCTTGGTCTTAACAAAATGTTACATGCCAGAGATGCACATACTTCACTTATGGTTATAAAGTGCTGTTTGCATTTCTCCTGCAAACACAAAAGCCAAGTGAGAAGGGATATTTCATAAACTCGGTGCTATTGTGTCCTCTGGTCTAAGCCATAAAACAAGAGTAACAGAGACGTTCCCTTTGAACTTGAAATCCCTTTCTAAGCTGCTGATCTAACCCAAGTGAGAGTGGGGGACTGTACCAGCCAGAACATTTTTCCTCTTCTGGGTATTTCTCCTGCCCTTTTCTTTTTTTAAAGTCCTTAAGTGAGTTTGATGCTGCACCTCTGCCCATAAATTTAAAAAAATATTATCGTAATGTAGGTCAGTGAACTGAAACGCCACTGTACACCATGGGGGATTAAAGTCGGAGAGGCAGCCCTCTCCCACTCCCACTAGGTCATATGACAGTATAAACAAGAAATACAAGGAGCCTTCAGCTTTTTCTTGCCCTAATCCTTTGTTTATGCAGCACTTAAACTGACTTTTGGGGTCGTCTCTGTCTGGCATTAAAGCCCTAAAGCTTTTTGAAGTTTCCCTGAAGTTAATAAAATTAGTCTGCCCTCATTGCTAGGCCCCTTGCTGCTGCTTCAGAGCAGACTGCATATCCCTTACTGTCTTTGCGGCATTTGGCTTTTTAATAATATTTCGTAACAAAAAAAAAAGAGTATTTGAGAGAGCAGCAGAAAGATCTCCCAAAAGGCAGTTCAGCTAATAGGCAAAGTGATTGCCATTGTAGATGTTCTGAGAACTCAAAGGGGATTAACTTAAAATCCAGTGATTGGAGGTAAATTGCTGGTAAAGTAATTGGAAGTGTTGAGTTTCAGTTGGAGAGAACAACATGCATTTCTGTGGGTTTTTACAAAGCAAGACTAAAACAGAAATTTAGTTTTTCCTCTTATGAAGAGGTCTGAAAGTTGAGGAAATGAGGTTTCCTTCATAGCAGTTCTCTCTCCTTCACCCATTTATTTCACTGCAAAGACTGGTCAGTTGCCTTAGTTCTTTTTACGTCAGGCATTCTCTTTATTATTTAGTCTTCTTCAGGCATAAATTGGTGATGGGCTCGCTGGGGGACGGATGGCACAGGACGGGCTGCACAGTGTGCGGTGTACGAGACCGAGACTTCGGCTCCTGCAGCTTTCGTTGTGAACAGCCACTCGGACAAGTCCCTGGTCAATTCCTGTCTCAGCACGACTAAAGCAGTTGTTTTTCGAACAGCCTGTGGAGATGCCCAGGGAGCAATGGTGATAGTGACAGAACACATCCATCAGTAAAAGGAGGATTTTTGAGTAAGTTGACCATTGGAGTGAAAGGAGCTGCGCAGCTGGAACCCTCGGTTACTTTGCTGAACTGTGTGTACAAGAGCAAGACCATAAAAAGGGTGTTTGTTTATAAAAGATGAAGGGTTTTAAAATCAACAGGTATTATGAGAGTATGGCATGCCTAATGGGTGATAGGTTTTGTCGCTGGTATAATCGTCAGTTGTGGGCTGTCGTTACCAGTTTGCTCAAAGGTAAATGGTGCTTTTAACACTTGTTCACAGAAATCAGTCCGAGTTTCTTTCCAGCCAGCCTTGCTGGGAAGGCTCTGAACTGAACCGTGTGGGCCTCGTATGATTGCTCACCCTATAATCCCGTTTTTAATTAAGTTAAAGATAACTTTGAAGGACTCTTAGAAAAATAAAAGATGTTTTTGTTGTCTTTAAAGTTGGCTTCCTGTGCCATTTTCGGGGCATAAATACAAAAATAACAGATACATGGAAGATCCTTCCTGGAGTGTAAGAGACCATCTGTGTTTCAAGCACAGGGGTTAGAAGCACATAGCCAGCAGTGAAGGAAAGGGATTTATAGGAAGTCATATTTTTATTTCACCATTTAATGCAGCTGGCAAAATGAAGGTGTTGAGGATGTAAGTGCTGCTTCAGGTTGGAATTAAGCTGCTTTTTCTGCTAGTCTTCTATTTCAGACCTGGAGAAAGACAAGTGTGCCTGAAAGCTTATCTTTCCCCCTCTTCTACCACCTATTATCAGTAGCTCTAGTAAAAGACATTATTCAGTGTTGAATTGAAGCAAGAGGTTGCCAAGCAGTGATACTTCCTTTAATGGTTCACTGGAGCTGTGTTTGCTGGGGTGGTGGGAGGGGACAGACACACCAAGAGAAACAAACAAACAAAAACCCCCAAACCCAAGGTCACCAAACAAACAAATGAACAGAGAAGAGGACCTTTTGGGGAAAAAGAGGAGTGGATGTTCAGACAGCAGATGTTGAGACATCTGAACGCTGCTCCTGCAGCCTTAGCCCTGCACTCAGCTGGGAGCGGAGCTGCCTGCGCCGTCGTCGTTTCCACAAGAGAAGCAGGAAGGGCTGTAGGGACTTCTCACCCTGCTCGTGCCTGTGGTGTGGGACAGGGTGAGGTCCTGCCTGCGCTCCGTGGCGGTGTTGCACAACCCTGTCAAGGCTGTTAGAGCTGAGCAAGCAAACCTCGCTCGAAATAAAACAAGTTACATTTCTGACGCTAGGTTTACTGCCATACGATGCTTGGCATTGAAATAGAAGCATACATACGTGACAAAATAATAAACAAGAGTGCGAGGGATTTGAGTCTGTATGTGAACTGCTGTCCATAGAAGAAGCTGCGGGGAAAGTGAGTAGCTTAATAAACCAGCAATACTTTGAGTCCTTTAAACTGAATATAGGAAGTGTTCAAAACTGGTTATAATTCTTTGATTCTAAGTCACTTTGGTCTCCAAAACTCTTAGGTTTAGCTAAAAATTGCTCCTAAGACGTGAAGAAGAGCTGTAACTTTTGCCACACAAAAAAAATACCTTGAAAAGATTTAAGTAATATCCTCTTATTTCTTCTGATAAGTAAATAAATGTTCTTGCAGCAGCTACGAGGGAGAGAAACTCCAGGCGTTAGGTATACAAGGATATTCACACCTACAGGATTAGGCTCACTTGACTGCACCTTATACTTTGTAATGCCTAGGGGAGGGTTGTTTATCTTGCTTTACCCACCAACCTTGCTGCCTCTTGTTCCTGATAGCTTAATTAAGAATTCAACTTGGAATGGTTCTTCCCACTGGGTTACAAACCTTGAAATTAAAATCGGATACAATGGTCATAAGGCTTTTAGTTTGACAAATCAATGTGTATGCAAAGGTGAAGATTTAAAAGGCTCTATTTAGAAACAGAGTAATTCCGTCATTTCGCTGGAATTGTAGTTGTTGGAGTGCAGTTCTGGAGCTAGGAGACAATGTTTTTGTAGGTGATAATGTACTTAGCTGTAGGATAAGTAATGGAATCAACTTTTTTGTGAGCATTGGTACTTAAGTGACTTGCATGGAAAGGTGTCAAAGCAGAAAAGAGATTTTAATTAACTGATCTTTATGGCATGTTCTGATGCAGGTTTTGTTCCTCCTATATTAGAAGAAAGAAAGCGAAAGCAAAAATACATTAATTCACATAGACTGCTGTGGTTTCAGATAGAATTTGACTTAAACTCAGCAGTTTAGATGACTCGTCTAGAGTTCTCTTCATTTGAAGGGTAAATGGTTTCCCAAGGGCAGGTTGGTAGAAGTGACCAAACTTAGTGTCTCTCATAGGTATCGTTTTTCTTGTCACTTGAGGTTCTAGACTCATGAAGGTCTCTTTCTTTTGCAGGTGATGGATGATTACAGTGTGATTGGTCGCTCACTGTTCAAAAAGGAAACAAACATCCAGATTTTCGTGGGTCTAAAAGTCAAGCTGTCTACAGGAGAAGATGGAATAATAGACGGTGGTTTTGGACAAAGTGGCAAATTTAAAATCCGAATTCCAGGTAGGTGCTTATCAGCTAACAAATGCTAACCGTAGAACTGCAGAACAGGTTGGGTGGGAAGGGACTCTTAACAGGCATCCAGTCCAACCTTCCTGCAGGGAGCAGGGACATCCTCAGCTAGATCAGGTTTCTCAGAACCCCATCCAACCAATGTTACCAGGGATGGGGCATCTACCATCTCTCTGGACAGCCTGTTCCCGTGTTTCACCTCTGTCACTGTAAAAAAAGAAACAAACCACCAAACAAACAAAACAACTCCCCAAACCTACCTTCTTTTAGTTATCCATGTCAAGTGTAGAGGATCTTTACACTCTGCAAGTCTGAATGTTGCCAGTAGCCTCCTGAAGTTTTGGAACTGGCTCATACCCAGCTGGACCACTGATGATTTGGTGGATTTTACCTCTTTTAATTAAATGGTGGTGGCTGCGACTTACATTGTGAGACTGAACAGCCTGAAGCCACATCTCCTGTGTCAGTGAACTCTGGATTCAAAATGACTTCTTGTTGAGTGTCAGTAACACTGGGCATGCTCTGCCCAGAAAGGTTTGTGGAAATCTGTTCTCTCTTAAATATACGTATGATTTGCTCCAGCACTCTTCTGAACAAATAAAGGGAAATAAACCTGCAATCACCTGTGGCTAATATTTAATAGTAAATTAGTAGAAGCAAGTTCCTTAAATTGGCTTTGTTGGGCATGTTATTAGCTAACTTGCCTTGAAGCAAAAACTGCTTGATAAATTAGTTTTTGGAGATCTTCAGAGGGGTTTTGTTTGTTTGTATTGTTTCCTATTGCTTATGTACCTTGTTTTATGATATTATGCATTACTAGTGGAGTGCCCCAAGGGTCAG